AAATTTAAATTTTTTGCTTTAATTTCTCTCAAACATAAAATTTTAATTTGAATATTTTTTTTTTTTTGTACTATTATTATTTAGAGAAGGATGAAATCGTTACGGACGCAAATTTTTTATTTTTTTAACGGTTACAAAAATTTAATATTTGAAACCAGACTTTACGGCACCTTTTTTTTTTCCTCATAATTTAATTTAATTTTGAATTTGTTTCGCCATTGTTAATAAATATTTTTGTCGGTAATTAAAAAAAATTTATTTATTTATTTAAATTCTATTATCTCATTTTACTAGTTTCTGCTTATTTAAAAGGCCGAATTTATTTATGTATCCTTGTATTAAATCAATATCAATGCCAACCGGTTTTTTCCTTTTTTTCTATCGATAAATTTATTTACCGATTATTATTATTATTTTGCGTTATGTTGTAACTTTATTATTTATATAAAAAAATAAAAACTTGTTTTATAATATACAAAACCTTAGTTTATTAATTTATAGAAAGGAAGAAAATATAAGACAAGGAGTTAGGGCTAAAGCGATCCTACGCGTCATCATGGAATCCAAGGATCATCGCGCGTCCGAAGGTCCTAACTTAGCTTCAATAGTTGTTAACGTCTGGCAGTCTGTCAGACGAAAAAAAATTTGGCAACGTGGCCAACAACACTTTTGTTTATACTATTTGACGATTTGTTGGTGCCAGTATCTGCCCTGGTCTACAAAAACCACTTTATAAATTTCAACTTTACTTTAATTTTTTTTTTTTTTTTTGCTGTCCACACATTTTTTGCCCTAAAAAAAAAAAATAATAATAATAATAACAACAACTTTAAATAACAAATATTAATTAATTAATTAATTTGCCTATAAATCAAATTTAAATTTTTTCATTTGGTTTCGTATATATAATTTCCTAAATTAAAAATAAAATACGTTAGAATCATATACACGTAAATTTTTCTTCCTTTTTCCTCTTTTCTATCTATTAGGATGTATAAATTGACGTAATAATAATAATAATAATATTCCTGAAATTTAAAACAAAAAAAAAAAAAAAATTTGGGATATGCGTGCGTATATACGCACGATTCCAAATTCTAATCCCACGTTATTTCACATGGAAAATTATTAAATGGAATAAAATGGAGGAGAAAATAACTAAATTTTAAGAGTACAGTTTATCCGTGGTAAAATAAATTCATTTTTTTGTTTAATAAAATGCACCGAACGAATTACAAGGCTCAGGTATCAGGTACAAAAAAAAAGTGAATGCAACAATTCTGGCTCAAGGACGTCTGATGGCCAGACATAACTCATTCATCTGGTTTTTTTTTTTTTTTTTTAAATAATACGTAAGAAATATTTTTTTTCAGCATCTTTTCAAAAAAAAACAACATTTTCTTTAATAATAATAATAATAATTTATATTTTTTTATTGAATGAATAAGGAAGAAAAAAAAACAAAGAAAAAAATTATATTTTTACGCACAGGTTAAATAATTTAGCTAAAAATAACGAGAAAATACGTTAAAATAATGTTAGAAGCTCTTAAATTTTTTTTTTTTTTTTGTAAGTATTGATCTGAGATGAAGTTTTGGGGGAACCATTTTGAAAATAAAGATTTAATAATCCCAACTAAAAATTTTAAAGGCAAAATTTAAATTTTCCAAAAGAGAGAGAGAGAAAAAAAAAACTTTACTACACACAATACTTTAATTATAAACTTAACGTACAAAAAATTTTTTTTTTTTTACCATCAAATCTTGTCAATTTTTAAAAAAAAATATTACTATTACTACTATTACTATTACTACTAATAATAATAATATTAATAAAAAAAAAAATACGAAACAAAACCGAAAACGAAAAAAAAAATCAAAATATTAAAAAAAAAAAATTCAAAGCTTTAAACGCTTAACGGTTTTCCTCCAAGAAAAGCGAGTCCTGTTAAAATTTTTTTTTTTCTCCTTTTTTTTTTTTTTTTTTTTTTTTTTTTAAAGGGAGGGAAGTTGGTAGTAGTAAGTGAAAATATTCCAGAACTATGTTAAACTCTGGCTTTTTTTTTTTTTTTTTTTTTTTTTTACTTTTTTTTTTTTTTTTGCAATTCTTTACTTTTTTTTTTTGTTATTGATTTGCGTGTTGAAAATATCCTGGAAAAACTAGGTGCAAAGCTAAGGCAAACATCTGCAGAAAAGGTTTTATTTAAATCCGTCAAGCTTTGAGGGTTTGTCAAAAAATAACTCAATCGATATTATTTTTTTCGTTAGAAATATCGGAAAATAAGAGGTTTCGAAATTTTTCCCGCATTTTTCTGTAAATTTTTAAACGGTTAAAGAATCCTAAATGATTTTGAATCATTGGTATTTTGATTAAAATGATTAAGTTTTTGCTACGACGGAAAATTTTTTTCCCTTTTGAAGAATTTATTTCAGTTATTATTATTAATATAGTTTGTTTTTATTATTACTGTCGATTTTTAGAGAATTTAAAATAATAAATCATATGGTAAATTAAATAAAAATCAAATTTGCAATAAAAAAGGTGACATTTTACAAAAGAAAATTTTATACAAACTTAATGAAGACCCTTGAAAAAAACCGCGTCTGCCCTAATGCACGTGAGACGTCAATGTGGCAACATTGCAGATCACAGTCAAAACTGGGCTTGGGATGATGCGAGTTTATCATTAGAAAACATGAGGTTTATTGTTGGTTATATTGTAAACTATTTTTTTGGTTATGTAAATGTTTTTTTTCGAAATTCGAAATCGAAAGTTATAATGAAATTTAGTGATATTTAAAACAGTTTTATATATATATATATAACAGAGTTTAATTAAAAAGTGTAAATTTAAATTCTTGAACGAAATGAATCGTCCGTTAAACAGTAGGTACTATATATATATAAATTTGTATGAGCCATTTTAATTTGTAAAATATTGAACCTGCATAAAAGACTAGGTTTTAAATTAATTAAAAAAAGGGATTGGGAAAATTGTTAATTATTGAATATCGATGGTAAATAAATTTTTTTTATAATGTATTTCCGCTCGGCCTTCAAATTTCCGTGTTTATGTCTTACGGTGATAATAAGAAACCAACCTTTGATGTTTTTTTTTTTTATATGCGAATAAGTAATAGGGGATTATAATTAATTTGTCAGTTAATTTAGATTATTAACCGAATTTTATATATATATATATAAATTTATTTTTAAACTTAAATTCTATAGTTTACATTCAATAGAATTAAATTTTATTTTATTTTATTTTAAAAATTTCATTAAACCACCATAATACTTATTAAATCTTTCTTTTATGACAGGTTCAAATATTATCGAGTAAAGTTTTTAAAAGTAAAAATTATTTTTTTTTTTTTTTTACAAAAATATATAATTTATAATAAATTTAATTTAGATATATTATATATAATTGTAGTACATTGTTTTATAATTGAAAACTTATTCAAGTTAATAATGTATGTAAGTTTTCTTCGACAAAAAAAAATTTTTATTTTTATTATTATAACATTAAATTCTTTTAAACTTGTTCTCATTATTATTATTTGAATTATCATCATTGTTTAATTGCTAATAATTATATATATATATATATATATTTTAAAAATAGATAAAATCAAATATTTAATTTAGCAACTTAGCTTAAATGACAAATAAATTTTTAAAAATAAATTAATTTATTAAATATTTAAATCGAAAATATTTTATTGTTGTTGTTGTCGTTTTTGTATTTTTAATTTTTTGCCCATTTATTATTATTATTATTTCTATTATTATATTAAAAAATTTTGTTTTTGTGAAATAAAATTGAAAATTTTAAAAACTAAATAGATGTTGTGTATTTGTAAAATTAATTATATATATATACACTGTTGCATTTCTTTGAGCAGATAAAATTTAGGGAAGCCCTAAAATTAAAGGAAGATGAGCACCAGTAATTGTTTTAATATATAAATAAAATCAATATAAATTTTTGGTTTTAAAATTTTTGGTTGTAATTTTGTAATTAAGAGTCTTTTATGTTATTTATGTTATGTTTAAAAAGTATTTTTTGTTGTTAAAAATTCTCTCCATTTATAATAACAATAAAAAATTGAAAATTTTGTTTAAAAAAAAAAAAAAAATTTTGTAAAACAAATAACAAAAAAAAAAAAATTATAATAACATTATAATTTATATATATAGAGATGAATGTAAATTCAAAAAGATTTTTTTTTGTATGTGAACGTTTTCGCGCGCATTTATCAAGTTTAAAAAAAAAAATAATAATAATAATAACTTGTTTTGAGAGAGAAAGAGAGAGGAAAAAAAAAAAAAAAAAACTTTGTGAGGAGTTTTTGTTTTAGAAAAAAAAGAAATAATAAAATTTAATTTAATTTTTTATTTTTTTTCTCAACGCGGTATTAATTGTTTTGAAAATTGGTAAAATTTGATATATAAATTATTATTATTATTATTTTTTATAAATACAAAATAATTTTAATAATTTTTAGTTAGCTTATTTAAGATTGAAAAAAAAAAAAATTTTCATTTAGCTGTTAACTGTACGTACTGCAGTATAATAATTAAATTTTTCTTACAATAATAATAATAATAATTTTTTTGTTAAAACAATTTATTGTCAAATCGTGAAAAAATTTAAATTTTATTGCAACCCCCCAAAAAATATTAATAATAATAATAATAATTTAGAAATTATATATATTTATATTTTAAATTTTAATTAAAAATAATCTCGTAAAGAAAAGATTTTTTGTTTGTTTTGTTTTTGTCAGTTTTATATATATAAATTATATAAAGGTATAAAATAATGATAATGAATATTCAACCATTTTCTGGACTATTTTATAGTTTTTTATTTCAGGTAAATGTTAGGAGGCCCGGGTCTCAGTTCAGTTTTTTCTGATGACCCATTGAGAAATTGTTGTAGTTTTAGCCGGTCAAAAGTCCTTTAAGTGACTTGAGAGAAATCGTGGGACCCTTGAGAAGGTATGAGGACGATCCACGAACACAATGGCGATCAATTTCTCCGCCGCATCATTTGCAGCATGCCTGGCTGGATTCAAAGTCCCAAGGCAGATCATGTACTGCATTGCTCAAGGTATGTCGTCGTCTCACAACCTTTTTCTCTACAAATTTCCTGTTTTTTTGTCGAATTTACACCAAAAGGAAATAATTATTATTTTAAAAAAAAATTGATTTCCTCTTTCATTTTTTTTTTTAGATCCAAATGCACCTTATGTCTTTTATAAAGACGGCATGGATCGAAGTCAACAAGTATCAGCGCAATGGGGAGCAAACGTTCCTCAGCAACAGCATTCGATGGGAGAAGTAAGATACTCTCCACATGTACAAATACCAGCTCATCAATCCCAACAACAGTCAGCCCCTCCGCCACCCACCCAATCATCTTCTTCACAACAACAACAACAACAGTCTCGACAATCTCAATCTCAACAACCTCCATCGCAGCATCCCTCTCAATCGTCCTCCTCTCATCAATCGCAACAAAACAACAACGGAGGATCATCGAACACGTCAAGTCCCCCGACCGTTCAAAAGGGTTCCGGAAACGATGGGGAACCGACGAGCGGTGCGCGAAATCACACGAATATAATGACTTCTCCGGTACCTAGTCCTTTTGTGGGTGCTCAACAGCAGAATGAAAATCAAATGAGTCGCGTGGATGATGACGTTTCCGTATCGGTACCGCAGCAGCAAAATAGTCCCAAAGACGGACATGTTAACTGTGATAATCAAGTTCCTAACGTGGAACACAGAGTGTGCTTTCCAGGGCAAAATCCTCACGTTCAACCCCCTCAGGTAAAGATTTTTGATTTTTTTTAAACGCTTTCTTTATGAAAGGGGAACCCCCCCCACCCCCGATCACAAGTAGTGTAAAATAATGTGTTTTTTATTGTTTTCGTTTCATTAGTTATCGTGAGTATCAAAAGTACTAATAATTCAAATTTTAATTTTAAGCAGTAAAACTTTTTAAATTTAAGGAACAGAGCGCCATATTAAAGCGCGTAATTTAATTTAATAAAATGTTCGTTCCTTCCTACTGTATAATTTATTCAGATATTCGTTGCTTTTTTTTTTTTGAATTGTAAAAAAAAAAAAAAAAAAAAAAAAAAAAAAAAAAATTTTGGGGGCTGTAACGAATTTTTTTTTTTTTTTCTTATTGGTTTTGTTGTTTTTATGAATTCATTTGATACTTCTTGATTAGGTTATTTGTAACGAAAAAGGTTATTATTCGAAAATCAAAAGGTAATTACGTATTTTTTTTTTTTTCCTAAAAGAGTTTTTCTCCACTTTAAAAATAATAATAATAATAATGATTAGTTTTATATTGTAATTGTTAATTTTTTTTTAACACGGATTCGCGCAGTTAATAAAAATAAAAAAAAAAATTTTTTTTCTCTTCACGAATTATCATAACAATTTCAGATTCAAACGGATTTGAACGGAGGCAATGCTGCTTACTATCGTCCCGGACCAATGTTAACTCCAGGTAGCTTTATGCATTATCTAAAGCAACCTGGTTCTGGGGTCATGATTATGGGCGAAGCCTTGGGCGAAGCAGGATATAATGGTGTCTTAAACGATATGAGAGTGAGTTCGGAAGGGGGACAAAATCAGGGGAAGCACAAATCAAGCACTGATCTCAGACTATTTAAGTGTTTATCATGTGGTAAAGACTTTAAGCAAAAATCAACGTTGCTCCAGCACGAGCGAATACACACGGATTCGAGGCCCTACGGTTGTCCGGACTGTGGGAAACGTTTCAGGCAGCAGAGTCATCTCACGCAGCACATTCGGATTCACGCGAACGAAAAACCGTTTGCGTGCATATATTGCGACCGAACGTTCAGGCAGCGAGCCATATTGAACCAGCATCTCCGAATCCACAGCGGTGAGAAGCCATTCATCTGTGCGGAGTGCGGGAAAACTTTCCGCCAGAAAGCAATTCTCAATCAACACATCCGCACACATCAAGGCGAGCGTTCTCCCTATTGCAGAGAGAGTCCCATTTCACTTCCCGATCCGGATCTCCATGTGGGAATGAATTCCAATCCATCCGACCTGTCAAAGTTTCGAATGTCTCTTGCCGGTTTCCTGTCCCGAGTTTCACGTAAAAAAAAACGAAAATCAAAATACGAACATGTTGAAACGAGTCCCGCCGACGTTCCTCTTGGCACCGTATCCGATTAAATAAATACCCCCCTACAGTTTGTGCAACATGAATTTTTTTTTTTTTTCTTCTACTTCTTCTTCTTCTTCTTCTTCTTCTTCTTCTGCTTCTCGTTAGGAATATACCACAATAAAATATATATATATATATATAAGTAAAAAAAAAAAAAAAAAAAAAATAGTAAATGTGTACATATTTTCAGTATTAAAAATAATAATAATAATAATAATAATAAGTACGTAATAAGAAAAGTATAAAATTTTATAAATTTATACTTAATTCATAATATTTGATCAGTATTTTTTTTATATACGAAGAATTAATAAGTGGAAATTTATTTTTATGAGGAAAAAAGGAAAAAAAAAAAAAACGGAAAAATATATATATATACATATTGTAAATTTAAAGGTACGGATAAACATTAAAAAAAAAAAAAAAAAAAATTTTCACCAGCATTTTATTTTTTTCTTTCTTTATATATATATATTGTATGAAGTTTGAAAAATAATTATTATCATTATTATTATAGTTAATTTATAAATTTTCTAAAAATTAAGGTTCTATTTTGTTTAGTATATATATATATATATATATATATATATAAACCCTCATCTTTTTTTTTTTTTTATGGTTGTTGATTTTTATATAATTTTTTTTATTTATTATTATTATTATTATTATTATTATTATTATATAAAAAGTTGCCACGAATTTTTAATTTTTATTTTTATTATTTAATAATTTAATTTTGCAGTATGATGGTGTATTATTATTAATTCTTAAAAAAAAAATTAAATAAAAAAATTGAATGTAAATATCTTAAAATAATTTTTCAAACTTCAAATTTTTTAAAATAAATTAAAATTAAATTGAGAAAATTTTTTTATTAATTATTAAATTAATTTTTTTTAAAAAAGAATAAATTGAACGTACAAATTAATGAAATTTATTGATATTATTATTATTATTGTTCTCCGCCAAAAAAAAAAAATTTAAAATGAAAGAGAACAAATCATGTCTTCGATTAAATAAAAGTATAAATTTTTGAGGGGGGGGGGGGGGGCTAAAAATAATTATTAAAAAAAAAAAAAATTGAATTAATTTTTTTTTTGTTGTTTTTGACAATTAGGACAATTTAAAAAAAATTTATTGTATATTATTATATATATATATATATATATATATATATATATATATATATATATATATATATATATGCAAAAAGAAATATTATTCGTTTTGAAATATTTTTTTATTTTACATACGTTATAGATGATGATGATGATGATGTTTATTCTGCTGTACATACATAAAAAACCCTGTTAAAAAAATATAAATAAAAAATTTATTATTATTATTATTATTATTATTATTAAATAATTATATTAAAATGCTGGAACAATATAGTTAATTATATTTTTATGAAATGATGATAAAATTTAAAAGATAAGTAATACGTAATGAAAAAAATATTAGTTTAGGAATTTTTTTTTTTTTTTTTTTGCTTATGTCTTCGCATTGTTTTTTTTTTTTTTTTTATTGTAAATTATTATTATTATTATTATTATTATTATTTTAACAGACATACAAAAATTATATAAAAAAAAAAAAAAAATTAAAATAGGCATTTTTTTTTTCTTTCAAATAAAGCAGAATTATAGGCTATTTTTAAAAAGGAATACAGATTATACTATTTTATTATTATTATTATTATTATTATTATTTAAACAATCAGGATCTTATTTATGTAGGTTATAATTTATTATAAAAATAAAATAATTAAAAGTTTTATACGCGTTCGTGCCATATAATTAAAAAAAAAAAAAATTTTTTTTATATAATTATTTTAAAATTTGGGTGCCATTTTTTATTATTTAAATCACCTGATTTTAATTCTCATAAGCTAATTATTGTGATATTATATTGATTATTCATTTACAGAATCCCCTGATAGAGTGAGAGAGAGAGAGAGAGAGAGAGAGAGAAAATTATATTAATATATAATTACTTAATTTTAGTTGCACATACTGCCTCCTCCTCCTCCTCCTCCCCCTCCTTCATGTTTCATTTTTTCTAAACTTGAATGTTTTTTTTTTTTTAAACAATTATATTATTTTAAATGCGCTCATCTTCCTTTGTTATTGAAAGCTCTTGTTGTAATAAACAAAAAAAATAAAAAAATAAATTTTAAATCGTGATAATGATGATTAAAAATTTTAATAAATTGTATAAAAAAAATTATTTAATTATTGAAAAAAAAAAAAAAAAAAAAATTTATTTATTTTTAAATTTAAAATATTGCAAAAAAAAAAAAAATAGAAATTGTTTAAGAGCTTTCTTTAAACAAATTAAGAGACCTTGAAATGTGCTTAATTCTCATAATTAATAATTATCAGCATCAAATTTTGACACGTATAATACACGTGTGTTTTAAAGAGTTTATTAAAAATAAAATTATAAATATTATAAGAAAATAATTAATAAGAAAAATTATTTTGTTGAATTTTAATTTAATTTAATTTAATTAATTGAACATAAAAATTTAAATGACAATTTTTTATATATATATATATATTTAAATGGTATACATGTTTAATGTTTTTTTTTTTTTTTATATATTTAAAAAAAATTTAAATTTAATTTGAATTTAATATTTATTCGGATGATATATTTATATATATATACGTGTTATGCAAAATTTTATGCTGGTAAAATGTTTTATTTTTAATTTTTAATTTAATTTTATTTAATTTTTTTAATTTTTTTTTTTTTTTTTTTTAATGATAGCATGTCCTAACGTTTTGCTTTAACGTTAATTAATTAATTAATTAATTAATTAATATTTCGAGTAGATACAAAACATAAGTGTTGGATAAAGTTTTACTTGAGTACTTTTTACCCCATGATTATTATTATTATTATTACTTCTTGTCAATAAAAATTGCCGAAAAAAAAATTAATTAATTAATAAGTGTCAAATTGATTTTGTTGTTTGTTTCTCGAGAGTATTAATGGTTATAATATCTCGAAAGGGATGTGGATACATAAATTATTTTTAAAAAAAAAAATAAATAAATAAATAAATACTCGCTGGTGATACGTTTACCACACATATACGTAATTTATACACTTAAAATTTTTTATAGTTGATAGATGTATAATTATTAATATTATTATTATTATTATTATTATTATTATTATTCTAAGACACTAAGAGGTGATAGATTTATAGTCTGATTTAAAAATTATTATTATTATTATTATTATTATTATTTTTTTTTTGTGTTGTTGGAAGGATTGGCACAAGATCTCCCAGATTGGCCAAAAATTGATTGGTTCGATTTTAATTGATATTTTTTTATTTAAAAAAATTAATTAATTAATAAATATTAAAAGAAAAGAAATTGATTATTTTATATTTAATTTGCAAATTGCATGCTTAGAGCAGGTCGTGCTTGCAGTCATCTAGAGTTATTATTATTATTATTATTATTATTATTTGTAGCGTTTTTAATTTTTCATAGCTTGTCTTATATATTTATATAGATTTTAATATGCTCGTTATCATACATATATATATTTAAATATTTTATTCAAATCAACCAATCAGAGCCATTTGAGCTGGGGGTCACTCGTTCAGTCCGTCCTAGTGACTGCAAGAGTAGTTTTGTTGGCAATATTTATTTATGTAGTCATGTTTTATGACTAAATTGTTATGGCAATATTTTTTTTAAATTTTTTGAATTGGTGTTTCATCAATAAAAAAAAATGCCTGCAAAACTGCGCCTGCTCTGAGCGAGATCCTTTCCTTCATTTCTTTACAAAAAAAAATTTAAAAAAAGTTTAATGATAGATATTCTGAAACTGTTGCGTTTCCAATAAGAATTTTAATTTGCTCATTTTTTAGTTGAATTTATTAACACTTTAAGAGATTGCTCAGGTCTTATACCGTTAATCAGAATGTGTAGTGTCTTGTAAAATAATGGCGGAGGTTAAATCGATTCAGTTCTAAAAAATTGTTAGTTAAAAAGTCAGGGTATTAAGTTATCACACTTATAATAGAAAATTAAAATGAATGATGGCCTTTTTAATATATTTTTAAAAAATTTTATCACCGGACCAAAATGACTGAGTAATTTTGTGTTTTTATTTTTTATTTTTAAAACAGATGTGAGCCCTCATCTTATATTCAAAAATGGAATGAATCCAACTTTATGGCCCCAAGATGTTCCTTATCCAGAAGATGGAGACAAGGAAGGAGATTTTGACGAAACATCATCGCAAAGAAACGGTCGATTTTCTCCCGAGAGCCTTCACTATCCAGCTTATTATAAAGACTCGAAAGGAGTGATACACCCGGCTTTCGGTACCGGTGCGTTTGGATTTTCAAAAAACGGTAAAATTCCAGACCTCATACAACAAGGAAGAATGGCGGGAATGCCGTTGTACGTTCGATGTCCGATTTGTCAAAAAGAATTCAAACAAAAATCCACGCTCCTTCAACACGGTTGCATACACATAGAGTCTCGGCCCTACCCGTGCGGAGAGTGTGGAAAACGTTTTCGGCAACAATCGCATCTCACGCAACACATTCGGATACACACAAACGAGAAACCATATCCGTGCGTGTATTGCGGTCGGACTTTTAGACAGAGAACTATATTGAATCAACATTTACGAATACACACGGGACAAAAACCTTATAAATGTGCTCATTGCGGTAAAGACTTTCGGCAAAAAGCAATACTCGATCAACACACGCGAACTCACCAGGGTGAACGTCCTTTTTGTTGTCCCATGTTGAATTGCAGGAGGAGGTTTGGTAACGAGTCAGAAGTCAAAAAACACATCGACAACCACATGAACTCGTTATCGAAACAGCGGAAAAGTTCATCCGTAGATGGAAAACACTCATCTCTCATGGGTCCACCTTCTATTTTGGGTCGTCCACCGTCGTCGTTCATAAAACCGGAACTGTATTTTCCACAGTGTTACACTCCTGCATTTAACGCTGTCGCACAATTTGCTTCGGCTTCGCCCAACAGCGACTTCAAACCGCCTGCAATACAAGCTCAGTGACTAATGGCCCCCGTGGGTCCCTTCGCGCAAAATGAAAATTTCAAACATTCTCTGACATCATCATCCGAAGGATCATCGATCAATGCTTCAAATGTTTAAATGATTTTAAAAAAAATTTTAAATCATTTTAATTAATAATTGGCAGCATTGATCGAAATTTTTTTTTTTTTTCAGAGTTACAAAATTAAATAAAATGACTTTTATTCGG